AACGTACGTTACTTACCTTCCTACTGTGGTCGTCGTTTGTTACGTTAAACCCTAAACCTACTAATACTTACTTCTACTCTACTAATACTCTCTCTCTCTCTCTCTCTCTCTCTCTCTACACACAAACAGATTACACAAAACATACTACAATTTTATAGACCTACAAGTTGGGTTTGTTGTGGGTGTATTCGAGTGGCAAAGAAGGTCAGAAGTTGGATGATATAGTGATTCTCTCACTCTAGAAAGAACTACCGTCGTCCTTTCGACAAGATCCTGCAAAATGGTTGTGTTAAACAAAACAAAACAGTTCCAGTAATAAGTATCTATTACTCTAAACAATGCTGAATTTTGAGGGAAAACATTGAAGTAGAAATCATTTGCCAAGGTACAAAAAGGTGTAGGCCAACAAAACTCCAGGAAAATGAAAAGAAACACCTTATGGGGCAAATTCAAGTAAGAAAGGACCATAAACATGATTGAGTGATCTATAGGCAGTACGCAGAATAAAAGAAAGAGAGTAGAATAATTGAGACTATTGCTTAGAGAATAGAATAATGGAAACTACTACTTCAAAAGTGCACGCCATGGTGATGCTTCATCATGTCATCGGATTGTAGATCATGTGAGGCACACCTTATTATAAATCCCGGAGGAAATAAACATGATAAACAAATACCAAGAAGTTGACCACTATGTGTAGGGTTAACATAGGAAAATGGCTTAGACACTTACGTTCATTATTGATTTAATATCCATGTCCATGGCACCTACAAAAGCTGACTTAAATTGGCAACCAATTTGAGTATCATCTGATGAAAGAGCATCTCACTTTAAAATAGTAAGATGGCTGAAATCAAATAGTCAACTTGTTTTCAGACTTCAAATCCTGAAAGCCAACCGCATTTGTCCAGATCCATAGATTGAAACCTGGAATAGTTTGTAGCTTTCTTTTAGTCCAAAATGATATTCTTTAGGTTTTAAAATCAGTTAACAAGGTGCATTTTTCCACTTGAATGACTAACAAAATGTTCCTTCTATGAAAATTTCACCACCTTGCCATGATTTTCCTCCCATTCTTCAAAAATCAAAACTTGTCTGGAAAATGTTCTTAATAATCAAAACTATTAATGAGGATCATTGGACTTGTTGCGTTAAGATCCATTGACAGAGAGAAGGATAGAGAAGCCCCATCCAGTATATGTTCCAAGGGATGAAACTTTTGAGGAGATCAAGAAGGCCACCTTTTCAGCTGGTGCCCTTAAAGCACTAATGCACAATTTGATACCATCTCTTATTGCCACTCTGTCGAGCACTGATAATCCATTCCAATGCTTCACTGACATCGACAAGCTATATAATGATGGAGTTATTTTGAAGACAGAAGAAGGAAAGGGAGTTTTCAGTAGCCTTGTGCTTCCAAAGATATTGAAAGATGTCATAAGCACAGGAAAGCGTTTACTCCGATATGAAATTCCAACCATAATTTCAAGTATGCTTCCAGAGCTTCATGCCAAATCTTTTACTTCTTTCTATTTCAGATTCTATAGCTGTATGCCAAGAAATATATAACAATATGTACAATAAGAAGCTGCAAATACAATATGAATTATAGCTTCTTCATCCTTTGATATTAATCACTTCTCAGGGGACAGATTTGCCTGGTTGCGTGACAATGAGTTTGCTCGTCAGACATTAGCAGGTGTCAATCCAGTGAATATTGAGCGATTGAAGGTTTGCAGCTTGACAACACACAAACATGATAGAGAGAGAGAGAGAGCGAGAGAGACTGTGTGGTTTTAGCCGTCACTTCCCATACTATGTTTCATTATCATTTACTTTGCTCCATTATCATAATCTTTTTTTCTTGCAAGAAGACCTAATTCTTGAGGTTTACCTGTTTGTTGTAGGAATTCCCAATACTTAGTAAATTGGATCCCGCAGTATATGGTCCACCAGAGTCAGCTATAACAGCTGAACATTTAGAGAAAGAACTGAATGGTATGAGTGTTGAGGAGGTATGCGTTATCATTCTTGTTTTGTGCTATGAATTTGCTTCGGAAAGTAACCTGTATGTTAATTATTCCATTTTCTATTACAAGCAATCTTTTATGATAAGAAGCTATCATTCAAAAAAAGTAAGATTGGAGATGATAGCTAAATCCTACTGCCATTAACTGTTTCCCCCCTCTTACCTTCTAAATATTGAAACTGCAGGCAATCAAAGAAGAAAAACTATATCTACTTGACTACCATGACATATTCATGCCTTTTGTTAAGAAGATAAACTCCTTGAAAGGAAGAAAAATCTATGCTTCAAGGACAGTCTTTTTCTTGACTCCAGCTGGCACACTGAAACCAATTGCAATTGAGCTTAGCCTTCCACCAACACCATCTCAGCCTGTGAACAAGCATGTGTACACTCATGGCCACGATGCCACAACCCACTGGATTTGGAAATTTGCTAAAGCACATGTTTGTTGTAATGATGCTGGTTGTCATCAATTGGTAAATCACTGGTATGTGTTTGCTTGGAAATATAGATTACTTATCACATAAAAGAAACCCCAGAGGTAAATGAAGGCGCGTTCATTTCTGTGGCATATATATTCAGCATATGTTATATTATAGTGGCTTTATTCTTGCATATTAAAATTGATAACCATGTTATCCTTTTCTGTAATGGTTTTTGTATGATGAATCAAACTTTCAGGTTGAGGACTCACGCTAGCATGGAGCCATACATTATTGCAACCCATAGACAACTTAGTTCGATGCATCCAATTTACAAGTTGTTGCACCCATATATGCGATACACACTTGAAATCAATGCATTGGCTAGACAGAGTCTCATAAATGGAGGTGGCATCATAGAATCATGTTTTAGCCCTGGAAAGTATTCAATGGAGATGAGCTCAGCAGCATACAAGAGTATGTGGCGTTTTGATATGGAAGGATTGCCAGCAGACCTAATCCGAAGGTAAAAATCTTTGAAAAAGAAAACTCCCGGTCAAAAACTTTTTAAAGTCCAATTCAACATTTACTGATTCTGTATGTGCCATGCTAATCTTCAAGCATGTCACAATCTGATCGTGTACGTATCCACATTTATATATACTGTATTGTTCTGTTTCCTTCCAATGCAGTAGTGTATTTTTTATTCTAATGGCATGATTAAAGTGCTAGCTTTGTCTTTACCATTTTGAAAACTAATGGAGTTAAATGGTGATAACAGGGGTGGCAATGGGCAGGGTGGCCCGGCCAGGCCCTAAAATACTAGGGCCTGGGCCACAAAATGTGGCTTGAGGACCAGGTGGGCGAGCATGGGCCAATGGCGGGCCAGCCCGGTCCGGTCCTTATTTCTTTTTCTTTTTTATGTTGTTTTTCTTTGATTTTGTTTAGCCAGCCCTGGTAGGGCATAGGGCCAGGGCCTCTTTGGCTCGGTCCGCGCTAGGCCTGGGCAGGCCGGGTCTGTTGTCAGTCCTAGCAATAAACCTAGACAGACAATTTTATAGGAAGTTATTGTGCCAGTAGAGAAGTGGTCTGTCTATGAAATAGCATGATCTTGTCCCCAGCAATGAGCCAATGATGTCAATCCTATCAACAAAATTTGGCTAACAAGAAATCAGTAAAACTAAAAGTTCTCTAGAAAACAATAGCCCTAAAAGATATATGGTAGAACATATTGCTTCAACACACACTACATTATAAACATCAGAAACAAGGTTAGGCAGTTAGGTAAGGTGCTCCTAGGGCACTTATCAAAATGCTTTATGAGACTTGGAAACCCTGAGAAATGCTAAATGTAGCATTTCTACTACTTTACTATAGTCGATGCATGGCACACCCACTTAAGAATGTTCTATGACTCATTGCAGAATTAGCGTCCGTTAACTAAAATGATACAAGCCCAATAAAATTTGATGCAAGACTATAATGAGGTTCCCACGGGCAAAAGACCCACTTAGAAGGATCTTCTGGATCTGAATTTCAGGGATCCAATTTAGAATCACTAGATGAGTAATTTCTAAAAAGGAGAAAAATGGGACCTTGAGTTCTAATAAACCTAGATCCGACTGTCCAAAAATTGGACAGTCTATGTTCAATCCTACGGTGTGATTTTTTGTGAGGCACTTCCGGAGTGCGTGTGCCTTGTTTTTTTGTTTTTCCTTAAAATTTTATAGTTAGGTTGAGTGGATCACATTGCCAAAATTTAGGGTCCTAATAATACTCCTAACTAGTTCTTCACAAAGGACCAAATGTGTATATTGCCACTGTGGGTGCATAAAATCTTTACAGTTAGAATAAAGTAATTGGAATTTGTGACCTTGGGAAGTTTTTGCTTTATCATGAGAATGTTTGTTAGCGTGAATTTAATAAAATAATGAAATATGCCAATTTCTTTAGGGGCATGGCAGTGAAGGATCCATCAAAGCCAGGTGGCGTGAGACTTGTAATTGAGGACTATCCGTATGCAGCAGATGGGCTCCTTATTTGGTGTGCTATTGAAGATATGGTAGAAGAATGTGTTTCATTTTTGTACTCAGAACCAAATAGCATTACACGTGACTCCGAGCTTCAAGCATGGTGGAATGAGATAAAAAACAAGGGCCACGCTGACAAGAGAAACGAACCATGGTGGCCTAAATTACAGTCCAAGGAGGACTTATGTGGAATTCTAACAACCTTGATTTGGATAGCATCAGGGCAACATGCAGCCATCAATTTCGGTCAATACCCATATGGAGGATATGTTCCAAATCGCCCCACTCTAACGAGAAAGCTAATCCCACAAGAAGATCACCCAGAGTATCAAATTCTTCTAACGCACCCAGAAGACTTTTTCCTCTCATCTCTACCCACCCAACTACAAGCAACAAAGATAATGGCAGTTAAGGACACATTATCAACACATTCGCCAGATGAAGAGTATTTGGGTCAGTTGCATCAGACTCATGCAAACTGGATTAACGACCAAAGAGTTCTAAGTACTTACGAGAAGTTTTCGGCAAGGTTAGAAGAAATAGATATCATAATTAACAAGAGGAATGCAGATAAAAGTCTTAAGAATCGAAATGGGGCCGGAATTCCTCCATATGAATTACTTCTTCCTTCTTCTGAGCCAGGAGTGACAGGTCGGGGAATTCCTAATAGCATTTCTATCTAATGGAATTGATGATGTGAAATCTGCAGTATGTTGTTTTCTCCTTTGCACTTTTGTTTGAAAACTAATGCATGCAAAGTCACCAATTATCCCGGCACCACACATTGATGATGGTCTGGTAATAGAATGTAAAGCATCGGGGCAATATTGGCTTTTGATGGTTGGTTCGAATTCGGATAATATTGAAGCAACCTTCACTTACATTCTTTTCCGGCAAAATAATAGGCTGAAAGCTACGTAAATCCGATCACTATAGCTTCACGCATTTGTACAAAAAAATTAAATCCCATCACAAGGTCATTCAGCAAAATGTATAAAGAATGTAAATCCCATTGCAAGATAACTGAGCATATTGGGCCAAGAATTTAAATCCTACCTATGGTGAGATCAAGAACCAAATGTACAAAGAATGCACATGATATCATACTGTTCATTAAGCATAATGCACGGAGAACTCAAGAACGTATACATATACATCCACCACATGGTCAAAATAGATGCATATATACAAAGTTACAGATGTATGCATATACATCCACTAAGAACATATATGTTCATTTATCAAATGTTTATGTAAAAATACATTAACACATGATTGCATATTCATCAAAAAAAATGTTCATTCCAAGCTTTCTTTTTTTGGGTGAGAGTGGGATTTAGTCATGCAACAATTGTTCAAGAATAAGGCGTTCAATGTTTCCAAGGGTGGAACCTATAGATACACACAGATATCCCAGAGTTAAGTGCAGCAGAAAGCACCCAAACGTGAAGAAGATGATATGTACAGAAAACAACAACATAACCACACAATTTTATTAACAAAAAATCACTGTGTGTGTAAAGTAAACCCATAACACTAGAGGACCATGGAACCTCACATGGTGTCTATCTCTTGGAATGTGCACCTATCTCCCCACATCCTAGCCTTTTTTATAAGTCCCTAATTGGTGTAATTTATTTTCTTTTAGGAAACCACCCTTCCAAAATCTTCTAGCCAAATTAGGTGGGCTGGCCCATGTGCTGCGTGGCGCAGACTCAGTGCATCACCTGTTAGGAGGTGGAGTGTCCAAAGGGAGATAGTTAGCTCTCCTCGGGCCACGTACAGGGCCTTGGCCCGAGTATTCTACATGGCCAAAAGCCCTTGAAAATTTCAAAAAAAAAAACAAAACAAAAGAAATATGTTAAAAATAAAAAAAATGGTGTAGGTCAAATAAAACCAAAAACAAAGTCCAAATTAACTTACCAAAAAAAAAAAGTTCAAATTATCTTTAGAAAGTATATAAAATATAGATTTTTTAAAAAAATTGGTTTATAGTTGAGAACATCCAAGTCGTATATAAAAAATGTATACATCAATACCCTAGTTTTATAGATTTTTAAAGACTTTTTTTCTATTTTCTGATATACCCTGAGTTTGCACCGAGTATCTCGGTCTAACTCGGTTTGCAAAGGAGACAAGTCCAAGAAACTTGGTCTCGTAACATTGGTTATCACTATGGGGGCACACACATACACAGACAGAGGGTACCTTTAGTAGAAAAGTTTTTAAGGATTAAGAGCTCATGGATTAGCACAAAACATAATTTGGAAATTGGACTTGCGATTCTCAATTACACAATGTTATTTAAAAAAAAAAGTCCAAATAAAATAATAATTTAAAGAAAATCCGAGTTCATTCTGTTAAATATTAGGTCTAAAGGTTAAGGTCTACCCAAATGCCAAACATGAGGCATCAAAATGACCACCACACCAACTCTCATGTTTTTCCTTTCCTTATTCCACTCAATTTTCCAAATAAAAAATGAATTTTTCTCAAGCAGTCTTCTCCGCAATTCAGTAAAAATATCGGCTCCTCATACTTAGTTCCAAAAACCCAAAAAAAATATTAAAAATAAAAAAATTAAGAACTCAAATTTTGACCCAAATATGCCTGGAATTAGGTCAAAATGGCTGAAATTCTATTAAATCAAAATAGGATGCAATCTCCAATCAGTTTACTGAATATTTCCAAACAAACATTCGTCTGAAATTCTACAAATCAGCCTGAATTTGGTGCAAATTTATCAAATAATTGATGGAAAAGTAAATTTGCGAAATATTGAAATGAAATTACCAAAGCTTTTCGACCAAACATCGTTGTGTTGTACCTTAGCCTGAAGATTTCATTCTCTGCTCGCTTTAAAATAACGTTTCTTTGCTGAATTTGAGGAGACCCCAATCGTAAATGTAAAATATAACATATTAGGTTCTATAAAATATTCTCCATAAATAAATTATGGGAAAAAAACATACAACGGCGCTATATTTGGCAAGTATTTGGAAAAATAAAGACGAAAATGCATAAGTGGTACTCGGTGGATAGAGCCACTTAGGGGATTTTTCATCTCTGAAATTTTTTGACCTATTCTAAAATTAATAATTATTTTATAAAAAATAGATTTAATTTTTATTGTATAGAATGAGATCTTTAGAAAAAAGTTTATACACGGTGTCAACCTTACACTCCACAGATAAGGTGCACCCAAAAAAACATCCACTAGAAGGTTTTTTCTATGCTGTAAAACCCTCAAATCCATCATCTCGATCTCTATGCTGTAAAACCCTCAAATCCATCATCTCGATCTCAAAATTCATAGATGTATAAAAACAAAAAATATGATTTTTAGTCCTAAACATATTTTATCTTCTAACACATTATTTAGACTGTCATTTTTCAAGATTTTCAGGTGTTCATAGATCTACTTGATCGTCATTATTTTTGGAACTCGAAATTTCATAATCGGAGGCAACAATAGATTTTCGTATCATTGTAACTGCATTTTCAGCATAGTTTTGATGTGCACCTTAGTTTAATAGTATAAAGTTGACACTTTATACAAATCTCACTCTTATCTTTATTACAAGGAAGTCACAATTACTCCTACTCATTAGATGTCAAATTCGATAGTTCCGATTAGTCATGAAGTTCGAGAATTCTTATTTTTATTTATAACTTTTGAGTTGTTTCAATAACATTCTTACCACCACCCAATTTGAACAAGAGTGATTGTGACCTCTTTAAATTATCTTTTTATATATTTTTCTATTTATTTTTATCAAAACATTTTTTCATAGATATTAAGTGCTCCCCCATGAGAAGTGGGAAGGCCTCAAATTTTACATCAAAATGATTTATAAGATAAATAAAAATAAAAATCAAACGATATACACTCTTAAGTAGTCCAATCATGAGCAGAAGCTCAAAGGCTAACTTGTGACATTATGATTTAAGTTATCTTGACCATCCATTTAGATCAAACAACTGAAAATAGTAGTCAAATATATACACCATTATTAAAAGAAAGCTCAATGTACAAAACAAGGGTATATAAGTATCCAAAAATTATTGAGTAATATGATAAATTACTCTATAGTAAAAGCACCCTAACATAACATGTATATATATATATATATGTAGGAAAAAGCTGATGTTGGCTCACTAGCCTACAACTACATATGAACGCAATCTAGGCAGTTCTGACAGCCATCACATCATTTTATATTTTAATTTTTTTTCTACAAATCCAAATCTCATGAAATTTTACACGTCTATTTTTCTCATTATGGCCCATCTAATAAAAATATTAAAAAAATAATTCGTAAAATATAAATTGACTAAAATACCCCTAAAAGTTTTGAGGGTATTTTGATCAATATATTTTTTGTAAATTATTTTTTTGATATTTTTATTAAGTTATCCTTTATTTAAAGAATACACACTCAAAATTTCAAAGAATTTGAATTTATAAAAAAATATTAAAATTTAAATACGAAATACAATTGTGATCATTGGATCGGTCCAGATTCAATCTGGGCCTTTGGGCTCAAAGAGAAAGGCTGACGTTAGCCCACAGGCTAATAGCTACAGTATTAGCCAACGACCCAGATTCAAGAATCTGGACCGATCTGATGGTCACGACCTCATTTTGTATTTGAATTTTTATTTATTTTTTACTAATCCAAATCACTTATAAATTTTAGATGTTCATTCTTCATCAAGATGCACCTAATAAAAATATTTAAAAAATAATTCATAAAATTAAATTGACCATAACACCTCTAAAAATTTGTATCGAGTCAAGACTCTAAACAATCAAAACAAAGCACACCTTCAAATAGTATTGAAAAATATTTTTTCAATACTGTAAAATATATTTTCATCTTTAATTATAAAATTTAAAGCTTCAAGAATGGTGTAGATCAAGCAAATTTATGAAAATTTGAAAATATTAAAAATTAATGGTCCAAAAATACGTTACAAGATTCACTCTTTGTAAAACTTGAAATCCATGTTTTTGCTCATGTCCATGCATGGATCATCTATATATACATTGTCGAGCAAAGATGATCACAATATCTCAAAGATCCAAACAAGGATTGATCAATAAAGGAACCATAGCACCATTTTGGTTCAAAAATAAATAAATAAAAGTGGATGATTAACCCATATGGACTATTAAGAACAACTAGAGGGACTTAGCAAAAAAAAAATCCTCCAAGAGCAACAAAAAAAAAATCTTTAAGCTAACGAGTTCCTATTTCTAGAGGCATTTTTTCTCACTAAAAAACCAAACCCCAAACAAGGACGAGTTTTATTGAAAACAAGGAAAATCCCATTTGTTCAAAATTAAGGTTTTAATAAATAATAATAATTTAACAATATAAAATATACTCAAAATAATTACCCAAATTTGTTTAGTTAGAATAACCAACCAAAACTCAACAAAATATTGGCTTCAATGGGTTATTTACGAAAGCTTGTGCTTGCTTTCAATAAGACGCAGAGGCACCGAATGGTTGATAACTACAGTTAGTAAGAAAAAGGAAACATGGACTCAATCTAAGCATTATAGGTTGGTTCCTATGCTAAACGAGTTGATTAATCACATAAACATAACATATGCGTTAACATTTACCTTTACACGATGCACCATTAGCTAACCTCAAAATAGTTAGAAAAAGACTTTGACGATGATGATAATGTGTCATTGTTTGTAACAATGTCATACTCCATGTTATGCACCTCATCACCAAGTGAAGAGATGATGCTTTCTTGGCTTTCATTGTGAATGCAATTCTTGGAGAGATTGATTTCTTTTTATTGCTTAGAACTTGTCTTGATATAATGTTTTCAATTGTGTTATGAAGTGCCTTACGACAATTGAAACCTTGTTTTAAGTGAGAATTATGAATATCTTTCAAAATGAACTTTGTAGATATTCTACCCCCAACACTTTTAGTATCTCATCCATAACTCAATTACTGCTTTATCTTGTTTTTACCCCCAAATCAAAAAATTATTATTTTATAAACTAAACTAACCTTCCCCTCCTTTACCTACACATTAAATCTCTTTCTCTCTCTACCTGCCCCCTATGTCTATCTCTCTCCACTCTCTCTATAACTACCGCCTTCTCTCTCAGTCTATCTCTCTTTCTACCTAACATCAGTCTCTCTCTCTCACTCTCTCTCTTATTTAAAAAATGTGGTTCGACACAAAAGTGTGTCAGACCGGCCTCTGGCTTCTGGAAATCTAGAAGCCTCGTGATCAGTCTAATATACTTTTGTGCCAGACTGAAAGAAAAACAAATAATAAGAATACATTTCGATACAAAAGTGTGTCAAACTGGCTTCTGGAATTCCTGAAGCCTCATGGTCGGTCTGGCACACTTTTGTGTCGGATTGAAATTTTTTGCTTCAATTCAACACGTGTCGGACTGGCCACAAGGCTTTTGGAATTTCAGAAGCCGGTCTGACACACTTTTGTGTCGGATTACCTTTTTTTTTTGCTTTGACCCTGCACACTTTTGTGCTGGATCCATCATGAGGCTTTAGATTTCGAGAAGCCAGAAGCCTATCTGACACACTTTTATGCTGGACCATATTTTTTCAATACGAGAGAGAGACTGATATTGGGTGGAGAGAGAGAGAGAGAGAGAGAGAGAGAGTGAGTGAGAGAGAGGGCGGGTACGAGAGAGAGTGACTAGAGAGAGAGATGGCTCGTAGAGAGAGAGAGAGAGAATTAATGAGTAGGGTAAAGGAGGGAAAAGGTAGTTTAAAACACTAATTGGGTTATGGGTGCGACACTAAAAACATTGGGGATAGAATGTCCCATAAGTTATTACACAGAATGGTAACTCAATAACTCGGTAGTTGCCAAGATTATCTTCCTAATTACTACAAGCATACCTACATTTACCATAAACATATCCATATTGAAATTAATTTCTCCACTATAAAAATAATTTGGAGAATGGAGGAAAGACATGAAGTATGACCCAAAACTTAATGTCCAACAATTACAACTTGTGTGCTTGTCACTTCCTTGTGAAAGGAAGCGATTGCTCTTGAATCGGGTGAGCTAAACTGAGGCGGAACAATAAATCATGCAAGAAGAAATAAAAAAAATTATCACAAATATACTTTAATTTTTATCTTTAAAAAAAAAAAAAGCCCAACTTTCATAAACCTCATCCAGTGGATGTTTTGTGACCAAAATAACTTTCACGGTAGTCGTTTTACCGTGAAGCACTATTACGGTACGTTAAGTACAGTAATGAATACCCCATTTTATACGGTACTTAGAATACCATAACAAAACCAAAGATTATTACGGTACTTGAATTATTGTAATAATGCTTTGGCCACTGCTTGTTTGATTAATTTTTTTGATTTGTCATTAACGGATATCTCGATCGTGACATTGGGTATCTTCTGCTAAGAAGATATCAAACCAGCAATATGATAGAGCAAAGAGGCTTTGGATGTTGTGTGATTTTGAGTCTTCTCCTGTTGGTAACCCAGTGCAACGACTGGTTTTCCATTTTGCCGATGCTTTGTGGGAGAAAGTTGAGAGAGAAATTGGGATGAAATCTCTCAAGCCTGAATACATAGAGAGAGAAGCAGATGTAGATAAAGTGTTCAAGGGATATCACCCACCTGTATTGGCAATCTATAAGGCCGTTCCTTGTGCAAAACTCGTGCAATTTACAGCAAGCCAAGTTATAATCAGCGCCCTGGCCTCGAAAACAATGCCAATTGGGAAGTTACCTCATCTGACAAAGCTCGAGAGATCCATTAATGACACATCAAAGAAACCAATAAAACAAACAATGGCCAAAGCCAAACCCTTGGTTTTGTTATTACGGTAATTCGAGTAACATAATAATCTTTGGTTTTATTACAGTATTCTAAGTACCATACAAAGCAAAGTATTCATTACAGCAGTTAAAGTACTGTAATGGTGCTTCACGGTAATACGACTACCGTGAAGGTTATTTTGGTCACAAAACATCCAAAATTGAATAAAAAGTGTGTGGATGAGGTTTATGAAAGTTGGGGTTTTTTTTTCTTCTAAATAAACGAAAATTAAGGTATATTTGTGATAATTTCTCAAGAAATAAGCGAGATGTAAACGGAATAATTAGTATGCATAAGGATCAATGCAAGAACCAATGCGCAATAAAAGCAGCACAAGAACCAATGTACAATAAAAACCAAGCAATGCAGATACACAATTATTAAGGGGGATTGTATATTAGGAGACTATTTGTCTTTGATACAAAGAGGTCACAATTATTTGCAATCATTTGATGTGAAATCTAATGGCTTGGATCTGTCACGAAGTTTAAGAAATTTCTTTTGAAGTTTAATTTAGTTAATGGAATAAATATAGCCACCCATTTTCACATCCAACAGTCAATATTAATTGTGACCACCTTGTATTAAAGGTAAATGGTCTCATTGTATACTTTCCCTTATTAAAGATATAACAAACTCTTGAATATATAGACCATTGAAGGAAAAATCAGGTGTTCTAACAGGTAATCGCCCAGTTAGATCGAAACCAGCCACTGGCCGGTTCAATTTTGGCCGGTTTTGGTGACCGGCCAGGTGTTTTTTAAAAAAAATTGAAAAAAGTAACATCCCAAAAAATTAGGGATACTTATTTGTAACACATTTTTTTAATGTTTTTCATCATTATGGAAAAGATTGGAAATTGTTTTGGCCATTAATACTTATTTTTAAGTTTTTTATCTTTTCTAAAAATTACAAAGATACCCCTAGACAAAAATTGATTTTTCCAAAATTGAGTCACCAAACAATCGCTAATCCCTCACATGCATTGCACGTCAAATACTCCATATGGTGCTTTTCCTCTCATTAGTTCCATGAATGCAAAGTTAGAGATAGTTTTTTCATATAAACTTGAGTTTCTCATTCACAATGTTGGACTAGAAACCCAATTGGTCACTAGAAACTTACTTTAATAAGACAAAAAAGTGATCATTCATAAACCCATAGTAGATGGTTCTCATATTCTTACAAAGGTAGAAATTCCAAAGCTACTACGAATGAGCCTGTACTAGAAACCTCATCCATTACACTCCCCCTTAAACAATGGTTTATTATTTAATAAATGATTTAATGTACCCTCTTTTTACGTTCATTGCATATGCATGACTGAGCACATATGCCAAAACCATGCATGATATGATGTTGCATATACAGACAATGCCCTTTTCTTTTTTTCTTGAAAAGGTTAAGAACTTTTATTATATGAATGCTGAAAAAGCATCAGACTACACAACAGGAATCAAAGCATTAGCGATAGACAGCGATGATAAAGAGATGCCAAGTTTGGCTAAGCTATCAGCTACGTCATTGGCCTCATATACAAACAATGCCTTCCATCATTTAGAATACCATTCAAAGGAGTGATGTACTTGCATGCAAGGTTTAAAAAATGGATCTTTAGACCGATTCTGTTATGACAGAACTAGCCAATTCCTGATAGGACCAGCCGGTTCTCGATATATGACGAGAACCAAATCAACTGTAACGATTTCTGATCCAAATCAAGTGATTCTGATCTAAATCATCAATTTTTAAAGCCTTGCTTGCTAATATTAGTCTGCCCTGCCCATACACATGAAAGGAGAACCTGCAAAGCTCCAATGGACTACTTGCATTCATACATGAAAGAAGGACCTCTAAGGTTCCAACACAGTGCATGCAATGGCTATTGTAAATATATATTTTTTTGAAACTGTTAATATTAATGGCTATTGTAAATATTATTTCATGGGTTCAACTTTTCAGTTTTGTACTCTTTAAAGTGGTTTCAAATGAACTTTGGGAAGGTGCCTATATGTAACAGGCGCAAATGTTATGGCAAATGGGAGCTGAAGGTAGTCCTGATGACTTAAACACAAGAAGCCTGATTTGACCATTTTGTAAGAATACTTATGATGCAACATGATCGACACTTGTTGATGTCCATTCAAGCCAGGTAGGAGAGATGATGATGACTCTAGATGATGTGGTTTATGTTAGAAATAAGCTTGATTCTGGTTAAGGTCATTTTGGATATTTTAATATAATATAAGGAGCATTTTGGGAAATTAATATGAAGGCCAATTTTAGAATGATGTACTAAATTTTTTTTTGTAGAGAGCAAAGCAAGCTTGAAAGATAAGATAACAGCCATAATCAAAAGCATGGAAAGGGTGCAAGAAGGCTGCTGAACAAGAAAGGACACAGATGTTCGTGTCCAGCAGGCGTATCCGATACTTCAGCCACCGGCAACTGTACAACCAGAGCCCCTGATTGCATATCGAAAAAAGAAGAATATACCTACTGTAGCACCTGAGGTTTTTTTTTGTAGAGTTCCAAGGTCACAATTCCAAGATTGAGAGAGGAGTTCAAAGCAAGGGATGCATGAAAATTTGAATTTGGAATGTGTGGAATCTAGAGTTTTCTTGTAAATTAGTCCAAGCAAATAAGGTGTATGTTAAGAGAGGGAAACTTCACTAGAAAGGTGTAGAAAGATCTAGAAAGGTCCTAAGAGGTCTATAAATTCATGTACTTTCCTTAGGCTCCCAAGTGTTAGTGTTCTAGTTGTAGGGGAATCCAAATACCACTTGATGTAGGAAAAAATGGAAAAAGAAACAAAGCAAACCAGAAAAAAAAGAAAAAAAAAAAAAGATGAGAAAAAATATCCTCTCTCTGGGTCTGCAAGGAAGTTCAACCAAAAAAAACACTTTCACAAGATGCTAAAATCAATTATTCTTCGCTTTGTTTTCCATGTCCAACACTTAAACATATTTATAGAAGAAACCTTGAAACCCTATCTTGCCCCATAAAAAACCCTAATCACTACTAAATAAGAGCCCTTCGTCTTTTAAAAAAAAAAGTCCGACTCTACCCCTCATTTCTTGTAGCAAAAAGAGATAAAAACCCTAAGAAAATAAAAAAAACTGAAAGACTAAATAACCCCACCATCAGTCTAAACAAAAGTAAGAAAAGATCAAATAAAAAAGCTATTTATGTCATTAAGGCCCATAAAATTACTAGATCGTCTTCACCACAATAGAGACATCCATCACTGCAAGCAAGAAGAAAAGGACCTAGGGCATTATTTTTGCTCTCATGTTAGCCATATATTGAATGGAACTTAGTTATACATCTCAGAAGAGTTCTTACAACTTGGAGTCATCAGCAATTTGCAAGTTAAAGGGCTTGGATGATAGTTCGATCAAGACAAATGAGTGGCTTTAGTGGAAGAAATATATTATTAGACAAGACTCAAAGAAGGTATCTAGTTTATTGTATATAATTTCACTACACTGATTCTGAAGGGACAAGCACCAAATTTTGTGTTGTATACACTTTATCAATCCCTTCCCACCATAGACCAACATTAGTATGGACTTCGATAGGAATCTAATGTACTTCCCAAGAGGATTTGGTTGAGCATATCCAAGAAGCATTTATGCAAGTGAAGTCCAAGCTCCAAGAAATTTATGCCAATGCCAATGAAGATAAGTATCAGGAAGTGAATAGTTTTGAGCATAGTTGGTGCAGGTGCGATCCAGGGAGAGGGAGCTGGCTTGGGTTCACAGAACTGTGGATTGCTGAAAGCTCCTTGTGGTTATGATCGTCGTCCGTACGATCCTACATCAAGGGAGCAGGATCCATGTCATATGGAAGCGCAATTCCATGAAGAAGGAATCGCAGTAGTAAGCTTTAAGGGATCGCTAATGATGTGTGGGTTCACAGTGCCATCGGGCACAAACTTGAATCAATGCATATGCATCAGTGTCGAATAGAGAAAATATCATATGCATTGAATCATACACTTGAGAACCGCGGTTCAAACCTACTGGGAACGAGGATTACAATAAAGGAATCTGCATTCCATCAAAGATCCCTAGTTGGAATCATGGGATCGAGGTTCCAGAGCTGGTCCATGACCTTTCCTACAAGATTCCAGCAACTAGGTTTTGAGCAAGGTAATTTGGTTATGGGTTGTCCTCATTGGAAGCACTTCATGATTAAACCCCAAGTTCAAGGAGAATGGCCCATGCTACAAACTTCGAGATAACGCCTCGAGATCAAGCTATCTTAAGGGTTTCATAATTCACATGTTTTACTTATATTCAATATCTATGGCAAGCATGAAAACGACCAAGTAAAAGATATTCAATGGGCAAGTCAAAATCTAAAGAAATTAAAAAAGAAGACACGTCACATTATAGATGTAGATGTAGTCAAAATCTAAAGAAACTAAAAAAGAAGACACATCACATAATAGATGTAGATGTACAAACCATAACCAACTGGTATGGCTGGTGCACCCATTACTTGATCGAGTGGGAAGAATAAATCACATTTGCAAAAGCATGGGTGAATGAGAGAAAAAATTTGTTGGAACGTTCGCTGGAGACTAACTTAGGATAAGGATCAACTGGTCAAAGTCCAGTTCTCTCAACCAAAGGGAACATGAGGCAATGGACATTCAGAATATTTCAACAAATTCTAGGATATTCTTCGATTTCTAGAGCATTCTAGAAAATAATAGAATCAAATGGTCTTCTAGAACACATGAGAATACTCTAGATCCTAGTAGAACATTCTAGATTACATTAAAATATATTAGGACATCACATTAAAATATATTAGGACATCTAGAATATACAAAAGCATTTTAGGATTCAATAATGCACTAAAGCATCATTGAATTATTGAATCTTAAAATGCTTTCAATATAAAAAGAGCACACTTTCGATATCTTGGGTCGAATAATTCAGAAAAATAGAGAGATTAAAGAAGATGTCGCATATAGAATTAGAGCTGGGTGGGCGAAGTGGCGATATGCAATCGGAGTTTTATGCGATCGCCACATATCAATGCAACTGATGGGGAAGTTCTATGGGACAACAGTGAGACCAATTTTGCTTTATAGGGCGGAATGTTTGGTGGTCAAGAAACAACATACCCATAGGATGAGTGTAGTTGGGATGAGGTTATTGAGATGGATGAGTGGCAAGACAAGAAGGGATAGAATTCTAAATGAATGCATTTGGGAGAACTTAGGTGTGGCTCCAATGAGCGATATGATGAGAGAAAGTAGACTTAGGTGGGTTGACCATGTGCAATATAAACCCAATGCAACACCCATTAGGAGGTGCGAGTTGGTTCAAGAGGAAGACTAAAAAAGGGTAAGGAATAGGCCCAAAAGGACATGGTTGGAAGTAGTAAGAAAAGATATGGGGGCTTATGGTCTCATAGAGGATATGCCCCTCGATAGAGCAGAATGGCGGACCAGGATTCGTGTAGCCAACACCAAATAGTTGGCAAACGGCTCTGATGATGACACTACACTAAAGCAATTTAGGATCTTCTAAAAATATGCTAGGTAGAAACTTCTAATATGCACACTCTAGAAGTGAAAATTCTATTCCGAAAATTTCTTGAACTAGAGATTCAAGTTTGGTTCCCCCCCTCTATAAATAGGTCTCTTGATAAAGGAGGACATCTTGAATTCCCATCTTCTTGCAAATGAAGAGTTTTCAAGAACTTCTCCTCTTGTTTTCTTCTTAAATTTTCCTTGGATTCCTCCTTACTTGAGTGAGGGTGGGTGCATCAAAACTATGACCATGTTTACAGCGAAGTAACAAAAGGAAAAAAGGAAGAACAAGAACTTGCATACTTTTTGTATTATTTATTTCCTGGACTATTGGGAGCTTACAAATGTTACATCCACAATACAACTTTGCCCATGTTCCTTTATGTACTAGGTTTTTGAAGCACTATCCAAGGCCATAAAATATCATTGAAAACATAATGGAAATCTAGCAAATCCATCTAAGAAAATGCCCTTGGGAAAACCAAGCATTTCATAGGGCATGCGAATGTGCATATGAGAAGAAGCATTCGACAAAGTAGTGTGTGAGTTAATAGTATCTCATACAAGCAAGCATCACATTTTCCATTGGCCAACTTAGTACACTCTCATTGCTTGGATATGTAACAAACAAGAAATGACCAAACCTACAAGCAAAAGAATCACATAGGGAGAATAGTTTACAAGAATCAAAATAAATAATCAAATAGATACTGTTTTGAGGGATAATATCACCTGCTAGTTTCTTTCGTAGATACAAGAACAAATTCTGCATAAAGATTCTTCAGCGCGATCATAACCGTCATGAGCATTGGGCCCATTATTGTTCCCTGTACCAAAATAAGTTTGAGTAGAAAATCAATAAAGGTTGTAATAAGAAACCAAGCTGCTAACACTATAGATTGAAAAAAAAAAGACAGAACGCCAGTAATCACCAGGACCACGTACGTAAAATCAATCAATATGAAATAAAAAATAATGTGTTAATGAATTAATTCAAGGCCATGCCTCAGATTCACATTTCAAATAGTGTTCATGCAATTTCCAACTGAGCAGTTAGCACTTAGTAGAGAACAGATCATATTGAGATTGATAGACTAGGTCAGCGCAAATGAGTGACAAAACAAACAAAGATTTGAAGAAACATATGCCAAATCTGGACCTCCACTTCCAAAAACCTACAATAAGCTAGCTGATCAGATGCCAAATAAGCTCAGAAATGTCCAAGGATAAGCTTTCTTGAACAATAGAACAAATTATTTCAAATAAAGGCCGCCAATTTCGATCCAAAGGCTCAAACATTCTCACAAGAGATGTTCATTCTCTGTGACACAATATCCATTGTATATAAAACAAATACACTGCTCCAGACCCATGAAACACAAGACAATCCCAATCACTGATCCTATCACTGAAATCAGTACGACCAGGAGCTTACTAATAATCATCAAACTTATGTTTAAAGGGACCAAAATGAAGAGAAGAGAGAAAAGTGGGTTAATGTCAACCATATGTTTTGGTGCACCGTTAGATTTGGGTTAGATATGGTCAAAATTAGTACTTTTTTTTTTTTGAACTTGCTCAGATAATGTTTTTTGACCATCCCCAAATTCTTAGGTCACAAATCCCGTTTCGATGGTCAAATTGAGGGTGTCCTATGGGGCGCATACAGGAAAATGGGGTGTACAATAGTCTATGTTCACTCTAGGACCAAGATTTGGTTTGTGGGTGTGTGGGTGTGTGGGTGTGTGTCCCAAGTCTCGGTCAAAATGGGTACATACACACAACTAGGATGTATATTCTTTCGTGGCACACACCCGGAGAGAGAGAACATGACCAAACCTTGACAGTGCTTAGGAAGTCTTATTTTTTAAACTGTTAACTGTATTAAGAAAAAGAGGAGTACAGGAGAAGGCCTGGAGGCCCACAACCTGGGCCTCACAGCCAAAAAATAAGGTTAGCCTTAGGAGGGTAACCCGTAACCCTATACAAGAAATGATCAGGGCTTATATCAGATTCCCATTACAGATATGTACAAAAAAGAGCCAGAGAATGGACAGGTCCTAGCGAGGAGACTAATCACCACCCCTGTGGAACAAAAAAGAGGCCAAAAAAAGCTCTGAGACATGCGGTCAGTGTTCCACTACCTGTGCGTGTGCTCCCTCTCTAGCCAGCTGGTCTGCGAGGGTGTTAGATTCCCTCCAAGTATGCCTCCAAGTGACAGGAATATCCCTAAAGAGGTGAGAAATCTCGTCGAAGATCGAAGCAAGGTATCAAGGAGGTGGTGAAACTCCTGCAGCCCAACAAATGATATTTCTGGCATCTCCTTCTACTAAGACGGGGAGACCCCAGCCAGGGTTAAGCAATTTGAGCCCAGAAAGAAGTGCCGAGGACTCGGCCAACTGTGAATCAGCATGGGCAATATGGTTGGAAAGGAGGCCAGGATGTTACCTAGGTGATCCTGAAGACCCCACCTGTTCCAGATGGTGAGGCCTGCAGGAGGAGGAGACCAATTTAACTCCACTCAGTCCAAATTACCCAAAGCGTGGCCGCAATGGATGCCCTCCATAAAAGTCTCCCTGCCTTGGGCCAGGTAAGGTCCGCTGTGAGGTGGAGAAGGGCTGGAATGTAGGCTGGAGTAACCCAGGACAGGCCGAAGAGTCCGAGTATTTTGCTCCACAAGCTAAGCACGAGGTTGCAGTGGATGAAAAGGTGAGAATTGGTCTCTTCATTACAGGTACACATAACACAATGGTTTGGGATTGGAATACCCCTCCGTTGAAGATGATCGACCGTGAAGGCTCTTTCGAGACCTGCAATCCAGTTAAAGGCCTGCACCTTAGGTGGGGCAATCGAATTCCACACCTTGGCAAAAACTGAGGTTGGGGTCAAAGGGAAGGTAGGTGGTTGTAGCAGTCTTTTGTAGAAGGAAGCAAACAAGAATACACCCGAAGGTGACGTAGTCCAAACCATTATGTCTGGTCCAGAGGGGGCCAAGAAGTAAGAATGCAGCAAGGAAGCTAGCGAAGTAAAGTCCAAAAATTTAGAGTCCGAAAGAGGTCTTCAGAAACATGGGTTCCATACCCTAAGGGCCCCCAGACATGGGGATCTCTTCCACTATGAATGAGGAAGGGTTGATAGATACAGAGAACAAAGCTGGGAACCTGTCCCTCAGCGAGGAGTGACCCAGCCAGAGGTTTGACCAGAAGCGAATTCTTTGGCCAGGAAGAGAACATATTGTTGGAACAAAGAGAGGGCCGAGAGAAAGGATGTCCAAGCCCCAGAAGTCCTGGTTGGTCGAGTACCCTCCGGCAACCAAGTGTCAGAGGGAATTCTATATTTGTTCCTTACCACTTGGGACCAAAGTAAGTTATTGTTGTTAGCCAGGCGCTACCACCATTTACCTAGCAAGGCCGTGTTTTGTTTCCTAAGAATGTGAATCCCAAGGCCACCTAAGTCCTTAGGTTAGCAGACTCTCTCCCAAGAAAGGAGATGGAATTTTTTGGATTCGACATCGCCTAATCACAGGAAATTCCTCATGAGGTGTTCCAGGTGGTTTGCGACCTTTGCCGGCATATGAAACAGGGACATGAGATACACCGGGGTGTTGGACAAGGTAGCCTTAATTAGGGTGGTCCTTCCTGCGAAGGATAAGAACCTTCCTTTCCAACCAGCTAGGCGGCGATCTACCCTATCAATAACATGAGACCACTATCTCATTTTAGGCTTCCCAATGCCCAAAGGCATCCCCAGGTAGCTCATAGGAAGATCTTCAACTTTGCAAGTCCACTCAGGGATGAGTGATCTAGTTTCCACTAGAGAAACACCCACGCCTATCATTGTTGATTTCTCCATGTTGACGTTGAAACCAGTGGCTTATTCAAAGCATCTAAGGATGAGGCGCAAGTATTTGAACCTGTGATGGGAATCCCTATCGGGTCGAAGCCCCTTCAGCTGGCGGCGCCGGTCAAGGTGGTGGCATCGTCTGGACACCACTGTCCAGTCCGATGGGTCTACCTTGAGAGAAGGAGCTGAGTCGACCTGGTTGAAGACTCAAGGGGACGGAGGAGAAGCCGAAGACCAGGAAAGCCGGATGCGGAAAAAAGAGCCCTCCACCTCCAACCAAAGGGAAGGAGGAATGAGGCGGGGGTCCAGAGTTTCCGAGAGAAGACGGATAGAACCCAAGGGGAGGAACTCGAGAGACTTCCAATAATCTCCACTAGGGACCAGGAGTGTAAGGGGATATGGGTGGCTGTAATCCTATCCTTTGTTTTCTAAAAGAACCTTCCTCAGGAGACCATTGCAAAGCTCGAGTTGCGCCCCCTTGAAGATGGGTGGAGACTTCGAATGAAGAGCCCGAAGAGCGCTGTCTTCAGAAGGATAGGTGAACAACAACGACCCATCGGATAGTCGGCGACACCCTAGGTCTGGCTCCCCCCATAGAAACTAACCCCATCTTTCGATAGCCCTGAAGTCGTCCCCTTTAGGACTGAAAAAGCCCACCAAAAAGCGACAGAGATTGACAATATGCGACTCAGATATCTCGGCCAGGGTGGAAATGAAGGGAGGGTGGTGAGAGGGGTGGGGCAGTAGGAGAGGGAAGCGGGCGAAGTTGCGGGTTGTTCTCAGCCACTGGAGAGAGCGAAGAAGGTTTAGAAAGTACCACCTGGGCGAAGGTAGGAGGGGGAGCAGTGGAACCGGCAGGTCCAAAGAGACTGGTGCAGCACAGGAGGGGGTTGAGGAAGAATGGGAGAAGGAAAAGGAGCTGAGGGAACTACGGCGAGGGAGGAGGAGCCATGGGAGAGGCAAGGGTATAGACTGTAGATTTCATTCCAGTCCGTAGGCAGATGCCACCTCTCGGGTGGGGGACGCACTCTCTCTCTCATGTCGGTTGGTTCAGGATTCTAAAGACTTGCGCACAGCAGCTTAGTGCTTAGGAAGTTAAGCATGCAGTGCTACCATTGTTATGAGGATTATAAGTTAAAAAATCTAGCCTATGTTCGTGATTACATTTTGCAAACTCTTAAGCTATTCTCCAATTTACCAATAATATCAACAGGATCACCACTTTTGACCTATTTTGATATTTTAAACAATGGGCAGTTGGATCTGTGAAGATGCGGAAACCTGAAAGTAGTCAAAGCGCCCATCACATACACTAGTTTGCTGACAGGATAATCATGTTCCACAAGATAAGTACTAAACTTGGAGTCAGCTCGTTAATCACCCATTACATCTTGACTTGAGCCACATAATATGTGCATTTACCGCATGGCCCATTTCAGTTGGTAACTCAACCAAGACATAATCAAGTCAGTCTGTGACATATTTGACTAATCAAATATGTACGCCTGCAGTTATATATTCTGTTGATTGGAGATCGATAATTAAGTTTAAATATGACTATCTTACAAAACCCTCCAAGGATAATGCCAATTGGAGATAGAAAATCCAACCGGATAAACTCATAAAAGCCTCTCAAAGAGAACACACACGAGGAAAGAATTTCAATAAGAATGATAACAAATTACTCCAAAATTTGTTAGTGGGCTCACTAAAGACCTTACCTCTCAAATAGACATTATTCCCAAATGATAACTAAATCCAATTTTCGATAAACAGATCTGCAATGTAATTTTGAGCAGTATTATCATGTTAGTGTTTAACTAGGAAAAAGCCTGACCACATGCATCTCAATGTTATCCAGCATGTATGTTTTGCTCATCTGCAAGCTCCTTAGAGGACCATGCTGACTGCTACAATTGTCAAAAGTGACTTTTCCGTGCTACACTGCTAATGACAAAGGTCATCGCTAGTAGGACCATATAAGAAGTGCTCCAAATAAAATCTATCAGCATGTTAACTCTATTGGTCTTACCCCATCCGTCTGAGAACAATAAGGTATCATCTTATCTTTGCTGTAATACTTTGGTAATTTTGCTTAATTCTACTCGTCATTGTGTATTTCAGCTTCTTATATGCATTAAATTCATCATTGTCTTCCTCACCTCGCATCGGGAAAAAAAGTTACCGCATAGAAATGCAAGAAAGCAAAGCAAACTGGTTATTTTGAAGGAGAAACCAGCCACGCCAGTCAAGCTTCCTGAAGCATTCTAAGACCCAGTCCAGTCTAGTTATGATGCAAATATTGATTCAGCAGCAACTATCTCCTAGGAACCAGAACCCCTTCTCAAAAGACAATTATTTGTTGAGAATTCCTATGTTAAAACTTGTCAATAGACTAGTCTTGTAAGTCCAATTTCCGTTTTGTGCAGAATGTCTAATTACAAGAATATGAAAAATAAAGACAAGCATCTTCCTATGAAAAAAATAGGCATATCTCCCCTTCAAATGTAAAAAAGACTTTTACTACATTGTTACGAATTCTAAGTTCAAAAGAAGTTCTCCTTCACATTAAACAAAAGATGACATTGCTCTTTCCATATTCAAACAGCAAATCTTCAGCACTTGTAACAAGAGTTCAGGTCATATTCAAGCAATCTCAAAACTATTTCACATCAAGCTTCTTATCGTGAGCCTATCAAAACCCAAAGTTTCATCCAGTAGGGTAGCTTATGTTTTCTTTTTTATATTTTTCTTTCTTGGGAAAGGTAAAGGCATATGTTCAAATGGTCATATATCTTTCTTGGGAAAGGTAAAGGCATATGTTCAAATGGTCATATATCTTAAGCCCATTAAATTGCTGAAGAAATAAAGTAATATCAATTGAGAAAACACAATGGAGCACCCATGGCAACAAAAAACCACAGAGAATACAAGAAAAGAAAATAAAAAAGATTAGTTAAGTGGTCTACCTCTAAAGCAGAAGGGAACAGAGCCATTCCACCAAGTATACTAAGCCCTGTAAGATAAGCCCTCTGTCCAGGTATATCATCTTGTATGGCCGATGCCCCATAATCCATGAGCATTAAATGGATAACAGTCAAAACGATAGCTTCCACATATCTCCCCTCCATTCCCAATTGCGCCGCCGCAGGAACCGAAGAAACCCAAGTAGGAATGAAAGGCAACAAAGCACTCATAAAAGCCAACACAGTTGACATATACAAAAAGTGTATACGATAAAATCGAAACAAGAGATAAGTGAGACACCCCTGAAACAAAGTAATCTTTGCAGTGGCTAACAATACACTACTCACTGCATGGCCTAGGACCTCAGCGCTCCTAACACGCGTAGCCTCAGAGACGGGGAGCATGCCTAAAACATGGTCCATAACACCACCTGATTCTGAAGTAATGAGATAGTACAGAAGCCAAAAGAAAACCATCAACTGAGATACAAAATTCAGTACCCCAGCTGCCCCTGAAACTATTGAAACTGCCAAGGAAAACAGCAAATTAGCACTCCCTGCTAAAACAACAGAGCTACTAGCTAAAACCCGCTTAGACATATCAACACTTTGCAAAGCTATCCTCTTGATTTTCTCCACTAGATCTTCTCTTCTTAATAGAACCATAAACTCCCTGAAAACACCTTGAACTTCATGATATATCAATTGCCACTCTCTGTTTTGAACGTTGACCTGGAGGTTATGAAGCTTCTCGCCAAATGGTTGCCCCGAAACAACTGGAACTGTGGAAGTAACAGATGATTCTGATGGTTTCATTAGGTAATACTTGAAACCATCAACAATTTCAGTCACATTATAATGCAAAGCTAATGAATCCACCTGTTGAGAAAGGGTCTCATAGAATTTTGCAGTATAAGTATCTATCAACTCAGGGATATCATTTTTTTCAATCCACTCCATTAACCCAATTCTCTCTGCATAATTGTTTTCTTGCAAATGGGTTTTCAGTGAAATCACCGCATCTTTCCCTTCGACCCCAATCTTGTAAGAGAAGAACATGAAACCACAAACCAACCCAGCAATCATACCAGTGATCAAGCCCAAAGCCACCATTGTTTTCAACCTCTTGAGCAGACCAGAAGTGAGAAACCTACTAAATCTGCTCCAAACTGAGAGCATGGGTGTACTCCTTCCACGCCTCACTGATGAAATAGCAGTGAGAGTCGAAGCCACGTTACTCTTACCATGGGTCTGGTCCATAAGACCAGCGCTACTCCCTGCTGCATAAGCAATCAGGCCTGAAAACGCAAAGGCTGGAATCACTGAAGCTCCAATTCTTTCGTGGGTGAACACAAAAAGACCAAAAGATACCAGCCATTGCATAAGCTTCGAGAACCCAATTCTCTCTTTAGATTCAGAAGATTGTTGCCGAATTCTCAGAAGACGAAACAAGGCACCCTGGAAATCAATCACAGTTCCTGTAATTGCACTGAAAACAGCGACAGGAATGGCAAGAAGGGTTTCAAAGAGCCCAAGATTTAATGGGTGTCTCCAGAATTGAACCAAAGCTCTCTGTATCTCTCTTAATGGCATGGAGCAAAGGATGGCCCATTGAATTGGCCTATAACATTCTTCAAGGAGTTTGGTGAGGCCATAGAGGAGAGCTAGAGTGAGAGCCAATCCAGCATGAGCCATGGCTATGTAGATTGCTAGTCTTACTTGCGGGTCATGGCTTAGTGGGGTTTTAAAATTATCACTTTCTTTTGAGTTTTCATGTGAGATTTTGGGAGTTGGGCCACGAGTGGATGATTTGGTGGTTGCAGAAGCTCCTGCGACCATTTCTTGCCATGGGGGGTTGGCTTTAATGGAGGAGTTTGAGATGGGTGCTTTACCCATGTTTGCTGACCACAAATACTGAAGATCCTTCGCTCTAGACTACGTTCTACGAGGTGGATTCATCTTTTTTTGTCCTTATTTCACAGGGAGCCTCGAATTCAGAGGTAGAGAGAGACAGCTGTGGTAGATGGGTTCTCTATTGATATTCAAAGGGGGATCGAGACGAGAGAGAGAGGATATAAGGATTTGTTTCAGAGAACACTCTGCAAAGCGCTGGGAATCAGCAGAATTTGCAGAGACAGTGATGAGACGGAGAGAATTCAATGAAGGTCCCAATCATTCCTAGAGAGAGAAGAGAGAAGAGAGAGAGAGGAGTCATTAAATAGAGAGAGAAAAGTGAATTCGAACATGGAGAAATGGAACTTCCACGCATGAATGGAGGGAGAGATTTTCCCACGTAGAAAAGACAGTACGCTCCAATGGCCAATGCAGCTTGGCATATGCATGGACCGCATCGGTTGAAGATGGATTTTGAAAGGAGCCGCACATAAACAGCTAAGTCCACCGACTCAATAAACACTTTTCTTATCATATAGCAGAGGTCCGAGGCTAAACGCTTTTCAGCGTGGACACGTTTTTTATGCGGCCAAGCCCGCATATGTAGAAATGTGGGCCTATTAATAAATCTATTTTTTAGATGGATTTTTTGGATTTAGTTTTGAAGGACATGTAATCTTTCACTTAGAGATAATGAATATGAAAAAATAAGTAAATTTTAAGAATTAAAAATAATAATTCTACTAAACAAACATTTGGACCAATAGTTTCCATTGTTTTTAGATGAAGCATCTATCTTTAACATGGATGCTTTACACTTTTTGGACCGTATATGTAGTCATGCGGTCCAGCCCGCATGAAATAATTTTCCTTCTAATGTTTCAAAGTTGGGCACTTAGACTAACTTCCCAGTGGATCTCAGTTTAGTTAACCTCCAACTGTCCATCAGTAAAATAGACGGTGGATATAATCTTTTTGTGGTATAATAGTCCTTAGAACGGTAACATATGCCTATTAGAGAATTTTTTCATTTGGAGATAGTTTCCATAAGACTCAGACTTCATGAAAACAAAGTAAAGCCTCATCAGGAATCCTCAACTGAAATTTGGGCATCACAATCTCTATCATGGAGCTGAAACTAATTTTCAACACAGATCATGAAATTTGAAGCTTAAAAAATGATATAGATTTTATGGATGAGACATGTCACGTACCAGTAATATAAAATCTTTCTTAATATATAATGGTCATGCTATTCATGCTATCTTGGGAGGGTTTATATAGATTATGATGATGATTGTCTCATGCAAATGCTAGTGAACGTAAGTTCCAAGCTACATCGATTCAAATAAGATTTATAATAATATTCGCCAGCGGGTATTATGTCCTGTGAATAGATTTAATAATATTAGCCAGCGGGTGTTACGTCATGTGAATTGCTATAATTGACATCGATTGCAATGAACCTGAACCTGAACCCGACCCCGACCCAAGACCCAATCTGGGTTTGGGTATGAGCCAAATTGGACGCGAATACTATTTGGATTCAGGTCCGGGTCCGGGTCCGGGTCCAGTCAAGTCAAGATTCAAGTTCA